GCCGCGCCGCGTACGCTCGTCTGAAACATTTGCAAGAATGTCGCGGAGTCCCATGATCAACGGACCAGAAGTTGTGATTTGGAAAGATTCAGGCTGAGGGTGCAACAATTACGTTGATTCGCGGTGTTGAAATCCCAAGAATCGTGTTCTGCCGCGATTTAGGATCGCCAAGACGCAACAGTCAGGTTGATCCGTGGCGTTGGAATCCCGAGAACACTGTGTTGGCATGCTTCAGGGTCTTCAAACGGTTGCCTTCCAACGAGGCAATCCCCTCAGTAGAAATGAACCGGTGTAGGGGCATGTGAAGAGTGAGCTTGGATGGAGGTTTTCTTCCAACATCATTGATGACTCTTGGGTTTACACTGGTCCTCCTCCTCTCCCTCCTCCTCCTCCTGCTCCTCCTCCTCCTCCTACTCCTTCTCCTACTCGGGTCATTTCAAGATCACGCTCGAAAATGTTGGCTGTTCTCGGGCTTTGGGAGCCCCTGCCAAGCCCCGGAACCATAACAAAAACGACTCGGGACGAAAAAGTGGTCCCCGGAAAAAGGGCCGACCTGCTCCTTCCCAGACCTTCGACGAAATGAGTTGTGCGATCTAACAAATTGTTCTTCGTTTCAGCCTTCAGGGGCCATGATCAGGCCTTGCAGCCATCACAAAGAGATCCACTGCGCAAAACTACCAGTGGGGAAGGGGTCCAGGTCTCTGGGGCCGCGGATTGAAGAATACAATTCATGGGCCTCCTCACCCCCTCCTCCACTTTCCCTCATTCCCCCTCCTCTTTCCGCCCCCCCTCTATCCCGCCTCTTCCTCCTCCTCCTCCTCCTCCTCCTCCTCCTCCTCCTCCTCCTCCTCCTCCTCCCCATCATCACCATCACAATCACCATCACAATCACAATCACCATCACCAGCATCAGCATCACATTCAGCATCAGCACCAGCACCAGCACCAGCATCCGCATCAGCATCAGTTTCAGCATCACCATCATCATCACTATCAGCATCACCGCCATCATCATCACCATCACCATCACCATCATCATCGGCATCATCATCATCATCATCATCATCATCATCATCATCATCATCAGCATCATCATCAGCATTATCATCATCATCATCATCATCGACTACATACCCGACCATCCCAACCCGAAGACCTGAATTTCGGGTTCGAGGGGGTACGGGTTCCATCTGCGTTTTTGTTGTCCAAGTCCCCCCAGCCAGGGCCACCCCCACTGAACATGGAGGGTAAATTGAGGTTTTCGGGTTTGGTTCGGATGTTTTGGAGGGTGGCGAATCAGTATCATCATCATCATCATCATCATCATCATCATCATCATCATCATCACCACCATCATCATCGCCATCACCATCACCATCATCACCATCATCATCACCACCATCACCACCACCAACAACATCATCACCATAACCATAACCATAAGTGAAGCATAAACATCAACATCAATCTCATCATCATCTTCCACAATCCTCATCCTCCTCCCCCCTCCTCGCTCCTCGAACCCCCCTCCTCGCCGTCCTCATTTCTCCCCCTCGGCCACGACGAGGTCGCGACGCCGGCCGCGCCTGCCCGGCCCGCCCACGCCAGCCGCGGCTCCGAGAGGCCCGCAGGTGCAGACTGGCCTGGCGCAGCACCGGAGAGAACTGCAGAGGCCCATGTCAAAGATGCGGACGCCGGGGCACTACTTCTAAATTTGCGTTGTTCCCATCGTACTTGGGGACCACGTCCCAGAAATGATTTCGAGCACCCCGGAAAGGATCGAAGCAACGCCGAACGAGTGGCGCCTCCCGGGGCCCGACACGTGAGGACCCTCCAGTCTCGGTACTTCCTTGGTGCTCGAAAGTCTTTTTTGGTGGTCAAGGCTACAATAGGTAGGAACATCGTACGTACATCTAACTCTCGGTCTGGGTCTGGCTCGCCCCGACCAGCCACAACTGGGGGAGCTGTGGTCCTGACCCCCTCTGGGGGAACCCCTCGCGTCGACGACCTCTCGAGAGGGGTGTCGAAATCCATGGGCCCCCCCCCGGGGGGTAAGGACCACCGCTCCCCCCGCTGTGGCTGGCCTGTCGTCGCCGCCGCGGTCGCGGTCGCCGTCGCCGTCGCCGTCGCCCGTCAGGGTTCCAGCGTGCGCGCGGGGCGGTGCCCCTGCGGGGTCCATCGTCCCGCCCGCCATGCTCGTGGGTCTGAACGAGATGTGGGCAGGAGAGGCCTCTGACTAGGCAACTTCTGAGGATTCGGCCCTTACGTAGGCGCCCCCGTCACCGACAGGACAAGCTGCGGCGCTCTCCCCCCCTTCATTTCTGCTACTTCTCCTCACTCTCTCATTCCTCCTTTCTACTTATCATCCTCCCCGTCACCCTCGTCCTCGTCCTCGTCCTCCTCCTCCTCCTCCTCTTCCTCCTACTCCTTCTCCTCGTTCTACTCCTCCTGCTCCTCCTCCTTCTACTCATTATGACGCCATCCTGCGTGCCAAACTTATGTAAATCGAGTTGGCACCACTGCCCTCCCTTGTGGTCACGGAGGTCCGCAGCAGCAGGGAGAGGACGAAGAGGAATCGAGAGTCAGCGATCAGGGACTCTGGGACGTCTCCAGGAGGAGGAGGAGAAGGAGGAGGAGGAGGAGGAGGGGGAGGAGGAGGGGGAGGAGGAGGAGGAGGAGGATTTTTTGACATCAACCGTGGCAAAAAGAGCGACGCCGAGCGGTCGTCGCCCCCTGCTATCTGGCCTGGAGCAGGCCAGCGAGCAGTGAAAAGGTGACAAGGAAGGCAGGCGCGAAAGCCACGGGGCGATTTCCCACAGGAGGGGAGGATCCCTTGTGGCTAACCGCCTGCCCCCCAAAGCCCACGGCCAGAGAAGAATGAGGTCAGGGCGAGACGCACACACGCTCAGAGGACGCATGCTGCGTCTCTTTAGTCTGGGTCATCAGACTGTGGTGCAGCGCCGACGGCGAGCGAGGCCTCGTCCTCTTCAAGGATTGCGGCGGCTCGATGACGCCCAGACGCCCCAGCCGAAGAGGCTGGCCCAGGCACCTGCCGCGTGGCCTGCTGGGAGGGACTCTCACCAGGCAGGCCAAGCAAGAAAAAGGCTGTTTCCTCTTCCGCGTCTCGCGGTTCAAGAGGGAGAGGAGTTGGGGCAGCAGCAACGACGGTGCACCACAGATCGGACGAGGGGCCAACGACTCGATCTGGCTGCTGCCCCAGTGGGAGAGCTGACTGTGGAGGGTCGACCTCCAGCTCCACGCCAGCTGGGACTGATGCCCCCCCTGCTGCAGTGACTAGCCTCCGCACCAGCTTGGCTAGCCGCAACTCCCTTTCTTGGTCGGTGAGACGTCGAGGCCGCTCCTCTTGCTCCAAGTCTTCATACCAGGGGCCTACCTCGACTGAAACGCCTTTGCGCTTGGGGTGGCGTCCCGCCCCCACAGAAATCCAGGCAGACTTGGCACACCCACTCTGTGGTTGGCCCTCACACTGTCTAAGTAAATTGCGAGGCTGCCCATGAGAGGAATAGGCGTAGCATCGCATACAAATAGTGAGGGCAGCACCATCAGAGCATAGCAAGGCAATGCAGTTATGCCTAAGGGCAGTAAGCACCGCGGACGTCAGCTTGGGATCTCTGAGGCACTTCCCAAGGGCGGGCGGGTCGAGCCCTCCAGGCCGAGAGCCGTCGGGGTTCGTCCGCGGTACGCCCTTAGCAACCTTGAGACATTCAATGCACTGCCAAAACGAGGAAACCCGAGTCCACTGATGGGACCTCGGCTCGAACTTGGGCCTGGGGGCTTGGGGACGAGCGGGACCCCAGTAAGGTTGAGCCGAGGCCACTCTGGCATCAGCTCGGTTGAAAGACGCATAACACACTGGGCGATAGAGAGGCATCGCTCAAGCCATACCACATCCTCGGGGTCAGGTTGCGGGTGGCGGGCAAGCGAGCTTTTTGCGACAACATCTGCAAGGTCATTGCCTTGCTTCCAAAACCGCTCCAACACCGTGAGGTCACTGGATTCTATGGAGGAGGAGGAGGAGGAGGAGGAGGAGGAGGACGAGGAGGAGTCGAGAGTCGAGAGTCCAGGCCTCCGACGCCTCAGGGGATCTCCCAAGGGGACCGCGTGGCTGACCGGCGCGGGGCCTCCTGGGCAGGGGGCGAGCGGTGGGAGAGGGCGAGTGCAGGACGGAGACGGTCGGCCAGGCAGTCAGACAGGCAGGCAGACAGAGAGAGACGAGGAACGGAGACAGAGAGAGAAGAAGAACACTCTCCCAGAAGAGGAACTTGGGCAGCCGTGAGTGCAGCCCGCGGCGAGCCAGTGGATGCCTCTGGCGCGCTGGGATGTGGGCAGTCGGTCAGTACAGGTCATCGTGCCACCACGGGCAGCGCCGACCGTGGAACGAGCGGCCCTCTCTGGCCACGGCGAGCCTCGGCCAAGAGTCGGCCCCCCGATCAAGATCTCAGAGACGACAGGCAAACCAGAGCGTCTGCTGCGCCCGATGTGGTACTCATCTTATCGTCTTACATGCGCGTTCTGAAGACCTTCCTGGAGCCATTCGCTCCACTCGTGCACCGGTGCTGCGTCGAGCGACCGTCGACTTGAGTCGAATCGGAGTCCAACTTGAGCCGTGCCAGGGTCGAACTAGAGTCGAACATGTCTGTCAGGCGGGCCCCAGGAAAGCTCAAACCGAACAATTCGACTCGACGCCGGGGATAAAAACGACGACGTTTTTTTGGTCTGGGGGGGGAACCTTGTCTGTCCCGTCGCGCCCTTATCCGTACGAATTCGTGTCGGATCCATGTCGGACTCGTCGATGAGGATGGGGGTGAGGATGGGGATGAAGATGGGGATGGGGGTCGGTCAAACGATACTGAGGACAAGCGAGGGCCCCCCGAAGATGCAGCGCAAACGACGAGGAGGCCAGCGAGAAGCCCGAGGTGACTATGCCGAAACGCCAGCCGCGCGGCTTCCCGCAGATCGCCGGGCGGCGCGGGCGGCGCTCAGCGCAGGAGGACGACCAAGGCGCTGACGTTGTCGCTGCCCTTGCCCTGCGCCGCGCCCAGGGGCGTCTCTCTGAGGCCGCCCGGACTCATGTCAGATTGAGGAGGCCGATCGATCATTCATTGTCCCTGGATGCGTGGCTGAACAGAATTTCGTGGTGAGAATTCTGCTTGTGGCGTTGTGGCTCTCTCGGGACGGCTCTCGCAGCTCCCTTGAGCTGTTCTTGGAGCCTCGTTGGGGACTTCTTGGGGCCTCTCAAAGATCGGGGGTATGTTGGGGGCCTCTGGGGGGTCCCGGAGGCCTTTCAGAGGTCTCTGGAAGCCTCCTGCTCCCGCTCTTGGGCCCATATTGGGCCTGTTCTGGGGTGGTCTGGGGCTCTCCTGGGCGCCTCTTCGGCAGTCTTGGAAATTTCTTGGCCCGTCTTGGGGCCGTCCTGAGGGTCTCTTGGGTAGTCTTGGGGCGGTCTTGGAAGCATCTTCGGCGCTCTTGGACCGCTGGAAGCTCGAAAACGCAACAAACCAAAAACATGGAAAACAACCAATGAAGATTTACGATGTTGGCCTCTTCGGGCCGTCCCCAGACGCCCCTCGGACCTCTCTTGGGGTCTCTTGGAGGCCACCTGGGAGCCTCGAGAGCCGTCGAAAGGCTGACTTGGGCTGCTTGGGAGAGTCTTGGGCCATCCTTTTGCATTGTGGGGGCTCCTGGGAGGCGTCTTGGGGGTCACCTGGAGCGCTGTGGAGGCTCCCCGGAAAGGCCAGGGGAGCGATACTGGGAGCGTCCCCGAGATGCCAAGGAGAGGTGTGGGACCCGGGGCCGGGGGGGGGGGGCGGTACTTATTATCTATATCTCTCTTCATATAGTGTACACATATATGTATATATATATATATGTATTATCTATACATACATACATACCTACCTACATACATACATCAAGACATACATACAGACATAGAGACATACAGACATACGGACATACATAGATGGACCAGGGTCTTGCCCCCCTCACACCCCCACATGCTGATGCCATCGCCCCCACCCACCCCCGCGCGATGGCCCCCACTGAGGTACTGTGAGTGTGGCGTGTGGCGTGGTACTGTGGTATTGCAGGAGAGCTCCGGAGGACGTCGTCGTCGCCGCCTTCGCTGTCGTCGTCGAAGGGCTCCAGAGGTCGGCGGCGCCGCCGCCGCCGTCGCCGTCGCCGTCGTCGGCGTCGCCGTCGTCGTCATCGTCGGCATCGCCGCCGTCGGCGTCGGCGTCGTCGTCGTCGTCGTCGCCGTCGTCGCCGTCGCCGTCGTCGTCGCCGTCGCCGTCGCCGTCGCCGTCGTCGTCGCCGCGGTCGTCCCCACCCCCCCGTCTCATCAGAGGGGGGGGGGCCGAGGGACCCTGAGACCGTGGGCGGGAGAGGCCGTGGGGCGGGAGCCCAGGATCAAACATACATACGTACACACATACACACATACATACATACACACATATGTAGATACACACATCTATAGAGTGACTCTCTGACCGTCACCGTACGAATCAATCCAGGGGCCCCAAGAGGCTTCCAGGGTGCTCTTCAGAAGCACATTTGACGCCTCTGGGGGGCTGTTTGGGCGTCTCTTGGGGCCTTTTGTGGGCTGAGGCCTGTTGGGGGGCTCTCTGGGGGCCATCGGGGACTCTCGGGGGCCGTTTTGGCGACTCCGTGGGCCTTCTTGGGCACCTCTTGGGCCGTCTTGGGGCCCTCTTCGGCGCTCGTTGGTGCTTCTTGGGTGCCTCTTCGGCCGTCTTGGGGCGATCTGGGGGGCGCCTTGGGCCGTGTTGGAGCGTCGGGAAGGCGAGAAGTCGTTGATGTTGTAAACGTGCGTATTACAAAAGGAACGAGTTTGGCCTCTTGGGGCTCCCTTGGGAGGCCTCTTGGGGCGCTCTTGGGGCGCAAAGGGGGGCCTCATGGATCGTACTGGGGCCATCGCGGGCGGCTTGTAGCCCTCTTGGCCTGGCGCGGGGCCCTCTGGAAGCCATCAGGAGCCGTCTTGGGCCCTCCAGGCGCGCTCTGGACCCAGCGGCCCATACCGTGCTCGAAGTCTAGCAGGATCAGCTTTCTAAGTGCATGGGTACTCATTGTATCGGTACAAGTATGCATATGTACTTATGTGTATCTATGTGTATATACATAGATGTATGGTGTGTATATATATATGTATAAGTATGCATGTATGTTTGTATGTATGTATGTATGGATCGATGCAGGATGTGTATGTATGTGAGTGAATGTATGTATGCATGTAGGTGGTTGCGTGCATGCATACGTGTGTGTGTGTGTTACGAATGTATGTATGTATGTACGAGTGTAGGCATGGTTATGAATGTACGCAAACATGTATATGCATGAGTGCAGGAGTGCATGTATGAATGTGTGTATGGATGGTTGCATGTGTGTATGCATGCGTGTATGGAGGCACGCATGTCTGCATGTTTACGCGTACATACTCATGCACGTTTGTACGTACGTGCGTACGTAGGGAGGTATGCTGGTAACGATGGGTGTATGCCTGCATGTACGGTTGCATGTATGTGTATGTGCAGAAACATGTGTAAGAATATAAGTGCATGCCTATAGTTGCACACTTATGTATGAACATATACATGTGAATGTCTGTGGATCCATCCATTTACAAGCGAGAGCTGACATACTATATGAAGATGAAGAAAACGTGTGTGCGTGATCTGCACGGCATCTCGCGGCCCTCACCTGGCCCAGGCGTCCCTGTCTGTCCAGCACCCTGCCTTTTTCCTTCTTTCCGATGCGAGTCGCAGAGACTTCGAAAGATCTGAAGGGTTATGCTGAACGTGTTTTTACCGCCTTCCCCCTCCTCTTCTTCATCATTACAACGAACATTTACTGGGTGGTGCGATTGCGTTACAGCTCCACTGAAATAGTGACCAACAAGTGGATCGAACTTGAAATAACAAGGTACCAATCACGCGGATTCAGCCGACAAGTTTTTACAAAAACAAGTGTCGAGCGAAGAGTGGTGGCACACAAGACAACTTGAGCAGAGAAGTGTTTGTCCAACACACTTGCGAGTACAAGTCCGCCAGTGTGGCCAAAACCTCGCACAAGACCGAGCCAACACAAGACCGCACCAGACATCCCGCGCACGGCCTCGCACAAGACCTGTGGGACCACTTTCTGTTACACATCGTAGACCTACTGCCCCAGAGGAAAGCAGGGTTGAGAGAGCGCCCCCTACCAATCTTGGCATGGCCCTCACACGGATATCGTGTCACCTGGTAAGATCCACTTTCGGGCCGCAGGGCAACATTTGCACGGCACCCCTCCTCCTATCTCGGCACCGCCCTCACACGGATGGTGTCCCAGAGAGATGCAGTTTCACGCGCACCCTCAGAGGGAGAACGGTATGTCCAGAAGGCAAGTGAACGATATCCTTATTCAGCCACATCCGCAGCCTCGAGGTAGCGCAGCGCTGGCCCAAACAAGGAGCGATAATCACATCACGTCACGCCACGTCACCCCACAGGGAGCTCGACCGAAAGCCCCAGAGCAAAGGTCCGCATCCCGCCGCACCGCCCGTGTCCGCACACCCCTGACCTGGATCGTGAGGTCGAGGCGTCTTGGGTACCTCTCCGGGGCCTCGCGGCGTCTTTTTCCATAGCCTCGTGGAGCCCGGAGGTGGATCGTGAGATGGGGGCCTGTGGGAACCTCTTTGGAACGCCATGCAGGATTGTCACGCGAGACGTCTCATACGCTTCCAGGGCCCTCATTTGGAGCCCCCTGGAAGCATGTAGGGAGCGGGCCTCCTGTGAGTCCCTTGGGGAATCTGGGGGGCGTTTTCGGTGTCTCTCGGCATCCTCCTGGGGCCTCCTGGAAGCGTCTTGGAGGCTTCCAAGCATGTGTTGGGGGGGGGGGGGGAACCGCGCCCCTGAAGATAATGCCCCACGACCCGTTCACCCTCTCGAGGCCCTCCCTTGGGGGGGCTACCTCGGGGCCCCCTTGGGCCGTGTTTGGGGTCCCGTCAGCGGTCTGGGAGCCTCCTTTGGGCGCCTCTTGGACCGCCTTAGAAGCTGTTGTCAAAAACGTGTATGGCCTTTCTGGGCTTTGGTCGGGGGTCGTCTTTTGGCCGTTTGGGGCAATTCTCGGGCCCTCCTGGCCCGTCTTAATGGGCTGTGGTCTTGAGGGCCTGCTAGGGCTCTCTTCGGAGCATCTTGGGGCCCTCCTTGAGCCGTATTGGAGCCATCTTGGGTTGTCTTGGGGCATTATTGGCGTTCTCTTGGACAGTCTTGGGGCGGTTGTTGGGGCCTATTGGGCTGTCTTGGCGCGATGTCGGAGGCCGTCAGAGCCGTCTTGGGCCGCTCCTGGCCCGAACAGGCGGGAAACTCAAAACCCTTCAAAATCAAAGAAAATTACAGTATGTCGCCTTTTCGGGGATCCTCGTGGGGGTCTTCTTGGGGGACTTGGGCTGAGCCGTCGTAAAACCGTCTTTGGCTGTCTCGGGGCCTCCTGGGCGCCTTTTTTTTATTGCTTTCCCGCGGGTAGCCGAATTCCTGCGTTCGGCTTGCAGCAGTGGTGCCGCAGAGAGATTGGCAAGGAAGGTAATCATAGATGACCCGCTACATTACATCATCTGTGCGCTGGGCATCGAGGATTGGGCAAACAGGCTCAGCATAGCTTGTCAGAGCCTCCTGGGCCCACCAAGCCCAGGGCGCCCCCGAAACCACAAATAAACGCCTCCATCGCCTCCTCCACCTCCTCCCTTTCCTCCTCAGATCTAGCTGCCCCTCCCTTGGTCTACAGCGTGCACCTTGCAGAAATGTATGGCCGCGGCCCGACGCGGGCGCCGTGGCGCGCGCGCTCTGCGAAATTAATCCACACTCTCGTCGTTGTCGTCGTCGTCGTCGCCATCGTCGTCGTCACGGTCATCATCTTCGCACTCCGCAGCTGATGTGGGTATAGCGGCGGCAACTCAGGGACGCGTAGCAACGCCCCTCACGGACGCGTAGAAAAAAGACCAGCGATTTGCAACGCCCTGCCGATGGCTGGC